CCTTCCTTCCTTCCTTCCTTCCTTCCTTCCTTCCTTCCTTCCTTCCTTCCTTCCTTCCTTCCCTCCTTCCCTCCTTCCCTCCTTCCCTCCTTCCTTCCTCGTCTCCTCCGCCCTGCTCCATTCCCGCTATGAGAATTGGTGTCCCCATGAGTGCTGCTGTCCCCATGAGCGTTGGTGTCCCCCCATGTGTGGGTGTCCCCCCATGAGTGTTGGTGTCACCATTAATGCCTACTGGTGCGGCCACCAGGTCCCGGGGCTGCCCGCGCCCTGTCCTGCTGCCCCTCCGCTCTGTCTCGCCCTGCGCACGCTGTCGGGCCGGGGTCCCCGTGTCCCCATGTCCCCCTGTCCCTCATCCCCATGTCCCCGTGTCCCCATGTCCCCCGCTGCAGGTGCGCAGGACCTACAAGAAGTATTTCCGCTCCGGGGCCAGCGCCCGCCTGGCCAACTTCATCTACCGGCGGCTGGTGAGTGCCGGGCATGGGGCCGGGCTGTGCGGCGCTGCCCGTGGCGCCCGCCATGCCCAGTGCCACCGCCGTGCCCCGTGTCCCCGGGGTGCCCCGTGTCCCCATGGTGCCTGATACCCCCGTGGTACCTGGTGCTGCCGCAGTGCCCAATGTCCCCATGGTGCCCGGTGTCCCCTCAGTGCTGATGTCCTCGCAGTGCCCGATGCCCCCGTGGTGCCCAATACCTCCACGGTGCCTGATGTCCTCACGGTACCCGGTGCCCCCATAACGCCCGGTGTCCCCACGGTGCCCAGTGTCCCCACGGTGCCTGATGTCCTCGCAGTGCCTGATGCCCCCACGGTGCTCGATGCCCCCATGGTGCCCAGTGTCCCCATGGTGCCCAGTGTCTCCATGGGGCCCGGTGCCCCCAGGGTGCCCGATGTCCCCACAGTACCTGATGCCCCCGTGGTGCCCGGTGTCCCCTCGGTGCCCAGTGTCCCCTCGGTGATGTCCTCGCAGTGCCTGAGGCCCCACGGTGCTCAATGCCCCTGTGGTGCCCGACATCCCGGCGATGCCTGGTGCCCCCACGGTGTGCAATGTCCCCGTGGTGCCCGATGCCCCTGCGGTGCCCGGTGACGCCCCCGCGCTCCCCAGGTGCAGCGGTTCCTGCTGGGGCTGCGAAACAACCTCCCTCCGCTGGCGGTCGCAGACAGGACGTGGCCCCCGGCGCCCTACGGCTTCCTGGGCAGCGCCAACGAGCAGCTGCGGGACATCTTCTACCGCTGGAAGGTGGGTGCCGGGCGGGCAGGGGCCCTGGGGACCCGGCAGCGTCGGTGGCACCGCGTCCCCCCTGTGCCCGCAGTGCAAGAAGTACCGGGAGCAGCTGACGCCGCAGCGGCGGGCGCTGCTGCAGGCCAAGCTGTGCGCCAGCGAGCTCTTCAAGGACAAGAAGAGCCTCTACCCCAAGAGGTGACCCCGGCCGCCTCGGGGACAGACGGACGGCACGGGGGGAGCAAGGGGGGGACAGTGTGCACAGCGGGACATGGGGGCATGGGGCAGGCGGGTGCACGGGGGAGCATGGGTCCGTAGGGTGCACGGGGGAGATGGGGCCATAGGGTGCCCAGAGGAGGTGGGTGCATGGGGGGAGATGTATCCATAGGGTGCATGGGGGGAGATGGGGCCATAGGGTGCATGGGGGGAGATGGGGCCATAGGGTGCCCAGAGGAGGTGGGTGCATGGCAGGAGATAGATCCATAGGGTGCATGGAGGAAGATGGGTCCATAGGGTGCCCAGAGGAGGTGGGTGCACAGGGGGAGATGGATCCATAGGGTGCCCAGAGGAGGTGGGTGCATGGCAGGAGATAGATCCATAGGGTGCATGGAGGAAGATGGGTCCATAGGGT